GTGACACACACACACACACACATTGTGTTCTGTGTGTGTGTGTGTGACACACACACACACACACATTATCTGTTCTTCTACAGATATACATGTTTTGGATAAAGATATGAAAAGCAAGGCGATGGGATAACATCAACACTTAGACACAACGAGCTGTGAAGGGTAATAGAGGTCAATTAGGAGTAGTTAACTGAAAATCACCAGCATGAAGAGCTTTCATAACCAGAAGTTGAACATTATCCTTCCTGTAAACTGTTTACAATATTGCTTAAGAGTGTTCACTATGAGGATCTCCCTCCTCATAGATATGAGGATCTATGATTGGGGATGTTTGCAATTCCTTGTGAAAATTGGTCAGAGTGAAGAGCCTTGGGGAACTTTGTTAGTGGAGACAATGGCCGAGAATCACTGAAAATCTAATTTTAGAATCACTGAAAATTTAATTTTACTACATTCATTATAATTATTAATTGGTTAGATGAAAATATTTAACGCTTAAAACATTTGAAGAGCAGTTCTAAATCCTCCCAGAAGACTTCAAAAGCTTAAATTCTTTAGCAAGCTCTCTTATGTGATTATCAGAGTGCCAATATTCAGGAAGATTACATAGTAAACCTGATAGTAACCACCAAAACAGCTACGCAGAAGAGGAATATGGCAAAGGGAAAAAGCATATAATATATACCTGCTCTTTACCATAGAATTTGCATTGTACATCCTAATAAGGAGTATCGAATCCTTACTGTATACAGCTGGAAAAAAAATAAAAACAATGAGATTAATAATGTTTACTGATGATGCTTCCAATATGACCTGTCCTTTCACCTGGCATAATGCATATAGGAAGTAAAGTTCTAGTGCTGCTTTATTTGTTGAATGATTATTGATTTTGGGTTGGTGCATCACGGTCGGCCCCCAAGATTCCTTGAGGTCTATCTACCTCATTTTCCCTTAGCGTCAAAGCAGTTTTCTGTACGGATGCTGATCATTACTTAGGCCGCGAGGGTCATTACCCACAGAAACAGCTCTCTCGCCATTGTTTTGCCAGTTCGCGACACAGTGACATTAACCGTAGAATGGTTTCATTAGGTCAGGAATTAGGGCAAATGTCTACAAGTATCTCTAGGAGTTGGGCTTGTATTGGGATCTAGATGAAGTAAAGTGTAAAGTGTGTGGACAAAGCCAGGGACACACACTTGAACATTATATCTTGGGTTGTAGTCAAATTGAGCCATTTAATGATAAATCTAAACTCACGTTGTATGATATGGCAACCTATCTTATTACTAAGGATAAAATACCTGAAATCCTTGCACTGTATCCATATTTCACTCCCAGTAGATAAACGACATATGAAATTAAGAAACAAGTAGTGTATTGTGAAGACTAATAACAAACAGCAGCTCCCCTATGACTGTAATATCTCCATTGGTCAAATAATTATATATTAGCGATAAGATCTACCATTTTTGTATAATGACTTACAGTAAATATATAGCTCTTGAAATAGAACATTCTCTGTAACTAGCTGATATGTGACTATAAGATGTGAAGGATAGATGAAATTGTTTATGTAATAATCTAAGATAAGGTCTGATAAAGACCTTTTGTGCCCTCTGTAATGCTTTTTGCGCTACGGCTCACAGGATGAGTATGGGGTGCACAATAAACTAGCCGCCTCCGGCGGCAACAATCAAAATAGATTCTTAACACACTTTGCAAACAACATAGTGTGTGTCTCATGGACTCACACTTAGGTGTCGTAGATATACTGGGAGGAGGGGGGTCGTAGACACACACTCGGGGCTGTCTCCAACTCACGGGTCGTGGACACACTCTGGGTCCACTCGCATTCAGGGGTCGTGGACACACTCAGGATTCTCTGGCACTCAGGAGACATAGACACACACTCAGTGGTCGTACAGACACTCGAGGTTCACTCGTCCAGAGGGACAGAGGAACCGATTTTGTTCTGAACTTGTAGAGGGTTTGGGTAATTCTTATACAGTTTTATTGTGTTATTATGGTAATTGTTCTATGGTTTAATAAATGTCTATTATTTATTAATAATAATAATAGTTTATTTAGGCAAATCAAAACTAGGTCTTAATTCATTGTCTTGTCACCGTTTCTTGTGTCTTCGGGTCGGATTTTGTACTTTTTCTCTCTTTCTTAATCTCCCCCTCCCCCCATTATCTCTCTCTCTCACTGTTTACATCAGGTCAACCTCCACTGCTCGAGCAATATAGATCAGAGGAGAGCAGCTGTGTATTTACTCTCCCTCCAGAGTCTCGAAGGATAAAAAAATAAAGAAAAAAGAAAGTTTACATTATCATCTAAATTGCTTCCTCCATTACCATATAAATGACTTTTCACTTAGTTTCAAAGTGCAAAAGTTGGGAGTTGCGTTCAAACAAGTGAAATAAATCGGAGACAGCTTTAGGTCCGCCACCTCTCGCCTCTGGGCATGATTTATCGCCCGTGTTTTAAGGCGATGATTGACTTTTAGGGAAGGCTATGGGTGTTCATACACGTATGTTAGGTTACTGCTGTGCCTCTACACACGGTTCTGGTATGTGTCTCATCCCACTCCAACGCTAAGTTAGGTACCTCGCTCCCACCTGCACCAACACTTACGTAGCTCACCCCCACCAACACTTAAGTAGCCCACAGTCACTACAACCAATAAAACCCCAAGATACCAGTTGACCAGACCACACACTAGAAGGTAAAGGGACGACGACGTTTCGGACCATTCTCAAGTCGATGGACCATTCCCAATCGACTTGAGAATGGTCCAGGACGGACCGAAACGTCGTCGTCCCTTCACCTTCTAGTGTGTGGTCTGGTCAACTTACTTTAGCCACGTTATTGTGACTCATCACCTGCATATGGACTCCAAGATACCAATTCAATCCACCAGTTCTACTGTCACCGTTAACGAAGACTGTGTGCGACAACACTCTCAACCCAACCAAGACTCTTGGACTCTTGGACAACCCAACCAAGGCTCTTGGACGTAACGCAAGGAGCCTCGCTCAGCGGGCTCTCGATGGTGATCCTAACCTACACTTGCTCAGTACACAGCGAGAGACCTCGCTCTCAACGTCAATAACAGCTTGACAAATTTTAATGTACGCAATCCATGGATAATCAATCCCCCATTTCAGACTTCACACGAGTCGATGGGATTTGGAAAAGGATTCGACGTTTTTAAGGAAATGCATCGACTTCATCCCTCCCCCTTTGACGCTCTTCATACAGTCACAAATAACTATGCACAGTTTCGTGAGGCTAGCGCCTGGCGTCTGGCCTCCAACTTGTGATATACAGATAAACAAGCATTCTCTTATCTAATTATAGACTAGATATATATATAGATATAGATATATAGATATATATATATACTATGTTCAGTTTCACCTTGTACTGTAGAAGGTGAAGGCCTGGTCTTTCCAGGCCTTCCTATGCCTGGCCAGGCCAATGAGGCCTTGTCAGAGACCGGGCCGCGGGTATCTTGACCCCCGGAATCACTGCAGGTAAGGTACACCTTTTAATAAACATATAATGCTTATATTATTAAGCATATAATACAGCATAACTTGCTGAAAGAGGCAAGGAGAGAAAAATACTCAATAACAATTCATTTGATACAGTAATGGGGTATTACAAACGATTTGCCGAAAAAAATAAGTTATTGATACAATGAAATTATTCATGAGATAATAAAAGTGTTTTTTTGTGTTCGCAGCATTAAAGTCAGAACATAAAAGTGAGATGAACATTCCGTATATTTAATTACGTTGACCACAATTCTATTTGTAAATATCTGGAGTGTTAAATAAATGCTAAACGGAAAATAGTTGAGTGCAGCCAGTGATAAATGAAATATTTATGCTTTTAACAATTTTATTATAAACTTATTTTTTACACCACAATATATTCAATACAACAACAACATTCATTTGAATTCTTTGGTACAATGACGACGTCTTTCATGCAGGTCGGTGTTCGATCCCCGATGTTCCCAGCGGTGATTTTTGTCATGATAACATAATTCCTACTCTAAACGATAGACACTGTGCCACAGGTCATTCTTCTCATCTGAAGCGTGCAATATAATCCAAACACTCCGTCATTTGACCCTCACGCAGATGGTAGCCATGCGCAAGAGGCCTATAGGCGTTTGTTAAACCAAGCGAGTATGACTGGAAACTGAACTGCGACAGGGAAACTTTCTGCTGAAGGATCAAAGAGCCATCGTGATGGGAAAAGCATCAATCTAGAAACAAAGTTGTGAGTACCTCAGTAAGTTGAGTACCTCAGAACTCAGTACTTTGACATCTACTCTTTCTTGTATATGTTAACGACCTGACTGAATGTGGAACACTGGTAGTAAATATTTGCAGATAGTGCATAATTTATAAATCAGGACAGAAGATTGCTAAACGATGTAGCAAGATTGACAGACATTAGATGAGACATAAACAAGGTAATTTTAATTTACAACGTGGAAGACGGTTCCCTGAAAAAAATAGAGATATAAGGCTGTAGGAGCTGGTATTATGCATTACTAAACACCAGAGCAGCATGTATTGGATAATATCAGCAGCTCACAAGAAGATTTCGTCCATTAGGATAACTTTCCAAAAATAGATGAACAGTTGAGCCACAAAGAGACATCCACGAAAATTTGAGATTGTAGTAAGCCACAAGGGGACATTGGTCGACGAAAGAGCCACCATTGAATCACAAGTGTGCATACACAGAACAGGCCTGAAGGCCCAAGTCAGTCACAAAGATCAAAGATCAAAGTTTAAATAGGCCTAAGGATACCAAGGTGTATTTCCTCAGTGTTAAGAACTGTGAGCAACTGGAATGAATTCGAGGGACAGATAACTCAAAACTAGCACAATACATAGTTCAAAAGTCAGGTGCATAACTAGAAACAGAAGCGCTAGGAGCAATTGAATAAGGTTAGGCACAGCCGGGGAATGTAGATCCCTGGAGCCCACCCCTCGACCCTGGAGTCCACCCCTCGACCTTGGAGCCCACCCCTCGATCCTGGAGTCCACCCCTCGACCTTGGAGCCCACCCCTCGACCCAGGAGCCCACCCCTCGACCCAAGATCCCACCCCACGACCCTGGAGCCCACTCCTCGACCCTGGAGCCCACCCCTCGACCCTGGAGCCCACCCCTCGACCCTGGAGCCCACCCCTCGACCCAAGATCCCACCCCTCGACCCTGGAGCCCACCCCTCGACCCTGGAGCCCACCCCTCGACCCAAGATCCCACCCCTCGACCCAAGATCCCACCCCTCGACCCTGGAGCCTACCCTTCGACCCTGGAGCCCACCCCTCGACCCAAGATCCCACCCCACGACCCTGGAGCCCACTCCTCGACCCTGGAGCCCACCCCTCGACCCTGGAGCCCACCCCTTGACCCTGGAGCCCACCCCTCGACCCTGGAGCCCACCCCTCGACCCAAGATCCCACCCCACGACCCTGGAGCCCACCACTGGATCCAAGATCCCACCCCTCAACCTTACAAGCACCTGTAAGTATATATTTAAACAAAGACACACATACACACCATCAGACAGGTTGTGAGTGATCAAACCGACAGCTATAATATCTCCTCCGTGAACGGCAACACTGCACTATTATCGGGCAATTACGGTAAATTAGAGAACCAGCCTCCCTAATCACCCTACATAACTTATATCTTATCGGGAATCGACACGTATTATTAAACAACAAGTGATTACCGCGTGTGAGGTGATCGCTAATGGGCTCCGCGAAATACATTGATGTCGTGAGCAATTGACCAGTTGAGGCGTTTGGCAGCCTGGAGTTTATTGATGAACAGTTACTTGTTGGCACTGGTTGATGTATATATTGGAAAAAATAGTTACTGTTAATTACTCTACTTCATCATTAGTAATATTTTTATTTATGAGAAAATCAATTGGAGCAATGCTGGGGATTCGAACCCTCGAATTCTATACTCCAAATCATATACACCTTACCTCTTGACCATGAGTTATACAACCATGAGTTGTATAATTAACGGTATGTTATTCAACCCCAAATTCCACCAACTGATTTACTCGTTAATAATACTGACTCCCTTATTTATAAGTTAATAATAATAATAATTTTATTAATATTTTTATTACTATTATTATTATTATTATTGTTGTTGTTGTGGTTGTTCAGAGTCATAACATTAATGTGATGTATCAATGAGAAAAATCAACATGTCCTCACACCAGGCTGGTTAAAGCAGCGGCCGCCCTCACCGGACGCATTTTTTTCATATATTGATATTTATGAATATTATACATATTATACGAATATTATACGCATAATACGTCAAACATTTTATGTATAATTAGGCGTAAGTTTGGTTAGGTGTTTAGGTTCTGTTGGCGATTATTTGTGTTTGTAGTACGTGAGTGAAGCATTTACAGCGTCGTGGTTCGAACAAAACTCGTGAACGGAGCACTTGTTCCGGAAGTGTTCGGACGTAATCCGTTGTGAGTCGTGTGTAAACAGCTTTCCACTCATAAACAGGGGGTTTGGCGGCTGAATTAACGAGCATATGGCTTTTGTGTATAAGGACAGGCTAGGAAATATAGTAGCGGCCATGAGGAGGATACGAACCTGCATTCTGGGTACTCCTAAGCACACGCTCTAAACCACTAAACTACGATACACTACACAAAATAATGATACCTGAATTCAAATGAATTCTCTAGGGGAATTCTGAATTCTCTTTTGAGGCTTCCACGGAAACCAAATGAGGTTTTCACTCCATTACCAACATGCACTCTGGCTGTGGTCCAGGAGTTCCACCCCTGTTCCACCCGCCCCCTTCTCTTGTACCACAGCCAGAGTGCATGTTGGTAATGCCTGAAAACCTCATTTGTGTTCTGTGGAAGCTTCAGGACCTCATAGATGATTCATTTTTATTCCATGTTGCATTATTTTGTGCAGCATATCGTTGTCTAGTGGTTTTGAACGTGCGCTTTGGTGTACAAAGTGTGCCGGTTCGAATCCTCCTCATGGCTCTTACCGATTGTCTCGTTGTTATTATTACTAGTGCTGTAATGTGTTATTTTTAATTTTTAATTAAATCAAATACATTGGGCACGGTTACAGATACAGCTTGATGATGGTGGTGAAAATATGGATTTTTTGATGATGCGGTTGACGACTACACAGGTGACATTGATGATGGGGTTGACGACGATACAGGTGACATTGATGATGGGGTTGACGACAATACAGGTGACATTGATGAGGAGGTTGACGACAATACAGGTGACATTGATGAGGAGGTTGACGACCATACAGGTGACATTGATGAGGAGGTTGACGACGATACAGGTGACATTGATGATGGGGTTGACGACAATACAGGTGACATTGATGAGGAGGTTGACGACCATACAGGTGACATTGATGATGCGGTTGACGACAATACAGGTGACATTGATGATGGGGTTGACGACAATACAGGTGACATTGATGATGGGGTTGACGACAATACAGGTGACATTGATGATGGGGTTGACGACAATACAGGTGACATTGATGATGGGGTTGACGACAATACAGGTGACATTGATGAGGAGGTTGACGACCATACAGGTGACATTGATGATGCGGTTGACGACTACACAGGTGACATTGATGAGGAGGTTGACGACCATACAGGTGACATTGATGAGGAGGTTGACGGTTATTGTCAAATATACAGTGAAGCTTCAGATTGATAGCGAAGCTTCCCTTGCCAAATAACATTCAATATACAAAGTTCATTTGTAAGTAATCGAACAAAAATAATTGGTTTCAGCTTACTGCCATTCAACTAGTTCAATTCACCAACATCCTCAAAACAAATAAAATACATAATACCCATGAATTCGCATGCAAAATACATTAGTGAATAGTTGTGTATTTGTTATGAACTCAGGACACGGCAGAACAAAGGGGCTTCAAACCCTGGTTGGTAATATCCGTGAAGCGGGCTGTAGTTCACGGCTCCCCTACATGTAACTCTATGGGGTTTAGGCGCCAGGTTTCACTTGATCTGGGGCCAAATTATAGCAGGTATCTGGTTCTTTATGACGTGTTTGGCACCCCCGCACGACCCCCCACCGCCCTCACGACCCCTTCACGTCACCCCCCTCCCCCCTCACGACCCCCCCCCCCGCTCGACTCTCCCTCACGACCCTCCCTCACGACCCCCCCACGACTCCCCCCCCTCACGATCCCCTTCACGACCCCCCCCCCCCTCACGACCCCTTCACGACCCTCCCTCACGACCCTTTCACAACCCTGTTCCTCATCTTGTACTCCCCCCCCCCCCCCCCTCGTGTCCAGCCCTTCTTTCCCCTCCTATCCAGCTCTTCTCTTCTCCAGCCCTTCTTCCCTTTCCGTCCTGCCCTTCTTCCCTTTCCGTCCTGCCCTTCACCCACCTCCCTTCCCGTCCTGCCCTCCCCCCCCCCCCTCACCCCCACAACCCGACCAATGCATTAATTCCATTTACTGTTCTTAAGCCAAAAAAGAATTTCCATTTAATTTTCAATTTCCAGTTAGTGTAGCGAGGGCTGTTGTGGCGTTGTACTCGTGTGGGAGAACCAACCAAAGGTACACAACACACCAAATGCTGAATTATAAGTTGACTTCAGCCTTCCAAGAACAATTTACTGTGAAATTTCGTAAATTTTGAACATAAAGTTCAGATTTATACCGCCAAACTTTCTTGGTTAGGGTTTTGTGGTTTTGTTTCGTACCAACTTGGTACTAATATTGTGTTTATATAATTGTGTTGATTTTAATGTCTGGAAAACACCCTGAGTGTTGGTATAGTGTTACCCCGGTCACACCATGAGCAGGGAGCCGGTCGGCCGAGCGGACAGCACGCTGGACTTATGATCCTGCGGTCCTGGGTTCGATCCCAGGCGCCGGCGAAAAACAATTGGCAGAGTTTTTTTTTTACCCTATGCCCCTGTTACCTAGCAGTAAAATAGGTACCTGGGTGTTAGTCAGCTGTCACGGGCTGCTTCCTGGGGGTGGAGGCCTGGTCGAGGACCGGGCCGCGGGGACACTAAAGCCCCGAAATCATCTCAAGATAACCTCAAGATAACCCCTCAACACGTGTGTCTGTGATGCCTGTGTATGTGTGGGTATACATGTAACATCTGGTGATGATATGTATGTATATACATACTGTTTTGATTTGTACTTTATTAGATATACTAAGGTTTACTAATATGTACATTAGTTATTACAATGAGTGATTAAGGTTCATGGATCTCCTGGAGCTCCTCCGCTTCAGGACAGGAACCGAGGACACAGCAGGCGTTTCCTCTCTGGATGGCCACACTGAGGCGCTGAAACAGCAGACTGGCAGCCCTTGTGTCTCTGGTGATGACAATGAGCTTGGAACCCGGTTTTTTGTGAAATTCCAAGTTGAAATCACCTAGTTGTATTCCTCTAGTTATACTTGCTGGGGGTTGGGCTCTGCTCTTGCGGACCGCCTCTCAACTGTCAATCAATCAACTGATACTAACTGATACTAACTACTAACAATTTGTTTTTTTCCACACGTACCCAAGAAGTAGCCCGTAGCAGCTGTCTAACTCCCAGGTACATATTTACTGCTAGGTAACAGGTGCATCAGAGTGAAAGAAACTTTGCCCATTTTTCTCTTTCCTAGTCCGGGAATCGAACTCGGACAGCAGGATTACGAATCCCGCGCGCTCTCCACTCAGCAACAGACTCCTGGCCGGGTCAAAGAGTTCTTAGTGATCTATGGCTTGCGCGTTCATGCAGCTTTCTCATATATATATATATATATATATATATATATATATATATATATATATATATATATATATATATATATATATATATATATACACACATTCGTAAAACACGTATGCTTGTGATGGTTTATATATGTATTTGCACGTATACACGTAACACGTTCTCATGGCGATGTATATATGTACATGCATGTATGCCTGAAACACGTGTGCGTGTATGGTAGTGTATACATGTTCACATCCAACACTAATTACAAAACAATGAAAGTTAAGCGGATCAGCGGAGCCGCCGCCGCCATGTTGACGTGACCAGCTGACAGCCGTTGCTAGGGACGCCAAAGGTTGCTAAGGAAGAAAAAACAATTGTAAACAATGTCTATTGCCATCCATATTGATATCTGTAGAACATATTTCCACATTCGTAATTGATTGGAAAAATTCTACTAAAGCTTGATATATATATATTTTATGAAGAACAGTGAATGAGTAAGTTGATTAAGCAATAACTAATAACGGGGATTTACTCACTTAAAGTGATAAATGAACATATCTAAACTACTAGTTGGCAACTATTCATTATCTGTTTGTGTTCGTGAGGTTCCTGGGATTCAGGCAACTGTTGTAGGGTTGCATCCTGGGGATAAGGTACATAGGGGGATATTGATAACCCTATCAATATAAAATCTTAAGACCTACAACGACTCACATCTTCACAGACGGATTAGTTGATCAAGAAAGAGGTTCTGCTGGGGCAGCAGTTTACACTACCAACCATGAAGCTTACTGGAGCATGAATAGTGGGTGCTCAACATTGCAGACAGAATTATATGCCCTGAAGGAGGCAATAAACTATACAATTGAGAATACTTTACATGATGTCATCATTCATACCGACGACTCTAAATCTACGCTCCAGACATTGTTATCCAGCCAGTACAGAGATAATTTACAACTCGTCACAGAAATCCAACATATAGGAAAAGAAACACATAATCTAGGGCTGTCAATCACCCTAAATTGGATACCAAGTCACATTGGCAAAGATGGTAATGAGAAGGCAGACTCACTAGCAAAAAGTGCCACTGCTCTACCTGTTGTACAGGTTCAAATACCTCCAAGTTTTTTACAGGTTAATCAAGAACAAAATACTCCCAACTATCAAACGTCGCCACAGAGCCCAAGGAACGGAAGCAGGCTCCACTGCGATGTGGTACAATCAAGACACTGGATACTACTCTTTCAAGCCTGGCAAAAAGATATCCAGAGATAATGCAGTAGCCATAATAAGCACCACTATTTACTTATCTGGAGGTAAATTGGATAAATAGCACAACTATTTACTGATGGCTGATATGTGGGCCTGCGGGCCGCTCCAACCCATAACCTAGTGGACCAAACTCTCATAAGTCATACCTGACCACGGGCCGGGCTTGGGGAAGTAGAAGAACTACCAAAAACCCAATCAACAAGGTATCAACCAGAGGAAAATTAAGAGAAAGTTCCTGATGTCACTAATTGGCTCACAATTGGCTGGAAATCACACATTATAGACGATTCATTACAGGTTCAAAGGTTTCTTAACCCTCGGCTTCTCATCAGAACCAAGTAATTATTCTTCGTGTTAAGTATTCCACTCTACTAAACTACTCTCCCGGGTGACCGCCCTCACGCTACACAATTATATGTTTTATATGTGTGAGAGAGACAGATAAAGACAGTAAAAGATAGAAGCAAAGACACTTAGAGGCAGAGACATAAACAAATGGAAAGAGGCAGAGATAGAGACAGAGATAGACAGACAGTAGATAGACGGATGGATAGACAGAGGGTTGGATACATGGGTGGGTGTACGGCTTCATGGATAGATTGATAAATAGACAGGTAGATGCATGGGAATATAGATAGATAGACAGGTGTGAGACAGACAGAGAGACAGACCTAGCCAACGCCGGGTACCTTCGCTAGTAGATATATCTAAAACAGACTAGCATAATAGTTACTTCTCCGAAAAACGATTGTATTATCAAACTCATATCGAAATTTAAAATACAAATAATACAATAAGAAAATAAAAATGAATAGGTTTAAATTTTTCAAATTCATGTATTTATAAAATTTAGTCAATGTTTTATTTTTCATTATAATTATACATATATTTTCTTAATAAAATGGAATTATATTAAAATTAGTTTAGTGTCACCCTGAATATGTGGTGAGATGGCTGGGTATGTGTAATGAGATGGCTGGGTATGTGTAGTGAGATGGCTGGGTATATGTGGTGAGATGGCTGGGTATGTGTAGTGAGATGGCTGGGTATATGTGGTGAGATGGCTGGGTATGTGTAGTGAGATGGCTGGGTATGTGTAGTGAGATGGCTGGGTATGTGTAGTGAGATGGCTGGGTATGTGTAGTGAGATGGCTGGGTATATGTGGTGAGATGGCTGGGTATATGTGGTGAGATGGCTGGGTATATGTGGTGAGATGGCTGGGTATGTGTAGTGAGATGGCTGGGTATATGTGGTGAGATGGCTGGGTATGTGTAGTGAGATGGCTGGGTATATGTGGTGAGATGGCTGGGTATGTGTAGTGAGATGGCTGGGTATGTGTAGTGAGATGGCTGGGTATGTGTAGTGAGATGGCTGGGTATGTGTAGTGAGATGGCTGGGTATATGTGGTGAGATGGCTGGGTATGTGTAGTGAGATGGCTGGGTATATGTGGTGAGATGGCTGGGTATGTGTAGTGAGATGGCTGGGTATGTGTAGTGAGATGGCTGGGTATGTGTAGTGAGATGGCTGGGTTTGTGTAGTGAGATGGCTGGGTATGTGTAGTGAGATGGCTGGGTATATGTAGTGAGATGGCTGGGTATATGTGGTGAGATGGCTTGGTATATGTAGTGAGATGGCTGGGTATATGTGGTGAGATGGCTGGGTATGTGTAGTGA